GAGAGAGAGAGAGAGAGAGAGAGAGAGAGAGAGAGAGAGAGAGAGAGAGGCACATCCAGAGCCAGATGGAAAGTTTGAGCCGCAGGGTCCCACCCTTGGGACCAAAACCCTCCTGTGGTGGGCCAGAGGTCAAAGACACGGCCCACGCCCTCCTGAACAGCTGGGGGTCCTGCAGAGGCAGGAGAAGTGGGTGGCAGCCTTTCATGGTCCTAGCAGAATGCAAAATGAGGAAAGGACCACCACAGGGCTGGGCTGAGCCCAGAACAGACGCTTGCGTGGCTTTGTCGGAAGGTGGCACAGAGAGGTGTGGCCGAGGTGGCATCAACCTTACCCTGATAAGTAGGTAACACATTGTCAGTTTGCATGAACAAAACGTCCCCGCCTCAGGTCGCCTACCTGGGAGGGAGACTAATAACCCGTAATGGTGAGAATTCAATGATGGTGTAGATGGCCCAGCACAGTGCCTGGCACATGTGTTGCTCTAGAAAGGAGGCGCGTGGCTACGCGTGCCTTTAGGGTGGGGTCAGCACGGAAACATTATTTTAGCAATAAATACACCCCTCCTTGACTCAGCCCATGGAACCTTCCGGCAGACCCTGGAGTCTGGGGCTCTGTTCCAGCACTCGTGCATGAACCGCTGCACCTAAGAGCATGGGTGTTGTCATAAGTGCGAGGACAGAATCAAAGAGGGGTCCGAGTTGGCTGTGGTGCACAGGTGCCCTGGGGATGTATGTGGGCATGATCCCCAGGGGAGAATCTGGGCTCTCCTTTGATTTGGTGATCTTATGACAATGCCCTGTTCTGTTTAGGGATATCTGCGCTCTGTGGGGCAGGCACACTGCAATGCTTGTGGCTGCATCTCAGTGCCTAGAAGAAGGCTCAGGATGTCATAGGAGTGCATATTGTTAGACCCAAGGGGGCAGTCATGTTCCTATAACATGATCGCACCCCTAAACAGCTGATTGGTTCAGGAACAAGCGCCTGACCCAAGCTGGGCCAATCAATCTCTTCCCTGGGAATCTCAATCACGGAAGTGGGAAGAAGGGACAGACAGGGCAGAGGGCGGGAGCCGGCTTTCCAGGCTGCTGGGTTCTGGCACACAGGCTCGGCCACATCTGAGAGAAACAGCCAGCCGCGGGATGGAAATAGGGTTTACGTGGAGAACGAGGTTCAGAGCCCAGCGTGTTCTGGTTCCTGGTTCTAGCTTGAGTCTCAACCACGTTTCTGCTCTTGGCTTTCATGCGGTACCCCGTATCATTAACCTAAATCCTCTACCCCAGTTAGGACACTTGATGCCAGGGTCTTCACTGACGTAGGTGAGAAACACGACTCGCTGCCCATAAGGGACACAGCCCGTGGCCTTGGGGAGCACTGGGGAGCCACACGGAGGGTAGATCCGGCCATCCCCCTTACCTGCCAGCCCAGGTCACGGAAGCTGACGTACAGCTCATGCTTCTTGCAGGCTTGCCTCTGGTCAGTGCTGCTGTTTTCTGCATGGACAAGGAAGCAGAGGAGCAAAATGGGGGAGAGGGACAGGAAACACACACACACACACACACACACACACACACACACACACGCACGCACGCACTGAAGTTTCCTCAGTCTAAGGCATTGGTATGAGCACAAACTTAGAAAGCTAGAGGGTGACTTTTCTGACACAAATGCCATTCTACCCCCAGCCAACAGTCCTACAAGGGCGGTGCCAACGCCCCTATCCCTCTCACACAGTCTTAGCTCACAGCACTCTCTGCATCCTTCTGGGAACACTGGTTTCTAACATATACACGTGTTGTTTGGATGCTGACATCTGCCTGGATTCTGCCGGGAACGGAGGCCCATCCACATCCCACAAGGCTGGCTGCAGGAGGCTGGCTACCTGGAGGGATCTGCTTCCAACCAACCTCACCATGTGAGGCCAGCCCACCGCACGATGCTCGCCCCCTCTGGCGGGGGCGAGACAGGGCACAGACAGGGCCTGGGACACAGTCCCATCAGCACCACCACCCAGAAGAAACAAGAGGGCAGAAAGTCAAATCCCACTGACTTTCCAGAAAAACACACTACTGAGGTTTCTTTGAGGAGTGAAAATTATGCACTGGGGTTTTCCAGAAGTATGTAAAGTTTGTAGGCATTTGGGTTAGGGACGGAGCATTTGTAAACATGTAGAAAGCTCTGTCTCTCTGTCTCTGTTTCTCTGTCTCTGCCACACACACACACACACACACACACACACACACACACACACACACACAGAGCTGCCTGTCCACTCCATGAACCGCTGGCAGCCTGAAGACAGGCTTGGGAAAACTGGCTCTCAGGCTGCTGCCTGCCCTTCCTCTGCTCATGGCAGACACTGCGAATCAACTGCAGCATTGCCTTCTCACTGAGCCCTCATATAGCTTCAAATCCTTCTTTACTCAGTGCGCCAAGCAGCTGGCAACACTGGTGCAGAAAGGGGAGAAAAGGAACGCACCCCTCCCTCCCATCCTGCCCCACTGGCCCCAACAGCCAGCAGGTGAGCTGGAGGCAAGCCCCCGCCTGAGCAGCTAACGAGTTACAACTGGTGCTGGGGCTCAGCTTCCAGCCCCGAGGATCACCTGGTGAAGATGGTTAATTACCAGGAAGTAGGGTCCAAACGTGGGTGGGGAGAAGGAAGTGGAAGGAAGGCAACGATCCCAGCCTGTCAACCCCAAACCACACCGCGTGAAGCAGCTGAAGGCCCTGGGGGTGGGCTAGCCTGCAGGAAAGAAGGCTTCACAGCAGGCAGCACGCTGGGGCATGCGTCCTGCCAACGCACCAAGGGCTATGTGAGAGGATTCAGCTTGTGTGGCCCTACGACAGGACTCCCAGCTGCCACGTGAGGTAAAGCCCTGCGAACGGCCATGAGCGCTGACTCACACACACTCAGAGAGCCTGGCTCACTAAGCTGGCGGTGAGACCCAGGCCTCGGCAATTTTTTTTTTTCCTATTAAACTTCCAGGCAGGATTTAGATGAACGTCAAACAGGGCCAGGAAGGAGACACCCATGGGAAGGAGGCAGAATCCAGGCAAGGTAGAACCGCTGCCATGTGAGGTGGTGAGAGCCCCGTCTGGGGGGGTATGTAAACGAAAGCTTGATGAGGGTTTGGTGAGGATGCAGTGGGGGAAATCGGGTGTCAAATTCTGAGACTTTGCGGTACCCCTGAGAGGGCTCCACGACACAGAGGTCTTTGCTGGGATGGAATTGGCCAGCACTTCTGGCCTGGTTGATACAGAAAGGCTCTAATGAGGCCCCCTACTCTGATCCTCTCTGCCTTGCTCCCCACCATTCTCAGAGCAGCCAGGACGATCAGGGCGATCAACTTATCACCCCCACCCCACACCATAGCTTGAAACTCTGCAAAGCCTTGCATATCTGCTTTGGATGATCAAACTCAGGAGATGCCTCCCTAGAAGACACTTGATCTTGCTCACCTCACCGGCCCCTCTCCCCTTGTCCCAGCCACCAGGCCCTCTCCCTGCTCCTCCCAGGTGATACACAACCTCCCACCACAGGTCTCTCTCTGCACCAGCCGGTCTCGCTGCCTGGAGTGTGGAGTCAGGCCTTGTGGGTGCCTGCCCCCACCAGAGCTCTCAGCTGCGAAGTCTTCTCAGAACCCCCTTCCCCAAAGATGAGTCCCTAGACACCATCCCCCAACTCTCAGGCTGGTGTGGCTGTGAATGACAGCCTGCTCCTGTGGTCCCAAGGGCAGGCCGACCAAGCTGGCTTTCGCCACTGAACCCCAGCCCCCAAGAGCCCAGCACAGAGGAGATTTCCAGTCAAATTTAGGAATTTGGGTGATTTTTGATGTGGGGGTTCACAGACCCCTTTGAGAAAAAGGATGGATGCACCTGTCAGAATAGAACCCCAATAGAACCCTGCACACAAATTCTCACACCCATACCCACAGAGCTCCATCCAGGGCCCTGCTCCAAAAAGCCTCACCGGCCACACCAACCTTCTCCCTCGAAAACGAAAAGGAACAGAAAGTGCAAAATCGGCTAGGTGAGGCAGAAGCACTATGGACAACATAAGGGTATTTGGGGAGTGAGATGCTTTGCCACTTCATCACCATTTTCTAAATACCCCCATGGTCTCTTTCCATGCTCCCTCAGACCCACCCCCGGCCCAGGAGGCAGGAGAGCTGGTGAGCTCAGCTCCGGGCTCCCAGCTCAGCCAGCGAGGCTGGTTCTGGCCTCGGATCTTTCTTTCTTTTTTTTTCTTTTTTTTTTTTTTTTCAGTCTAGTTGTGGAGGACGTTGCTTCACTGGCCCAAGTTGGCACCATCATTGCGCTCTTCCTGGGCAAGTCACATCAGTCGCCGGCTTCTGGNTTTTTTAAGACTTTAAGCCTTCAAAACCCAGTGTGTATTTTCTATTTACACAGAAACATCTCTATTCCGACTGGGCAGATTTCAGGTGTTCAAGAGGCACCTGTAAACGTGGTTACCATATTGGATGCTGCAGGCCTAGACCATACGAGGCTATTTGCTTCTTGAGCCATAAAAATAAAAGGAAAGGAGTTGGGGCAAACATTTGGGTGGACAGCAACAAAAAAGCAGAATATCCAGGGAGTAAGAATAAAGAAAGAGGCTGGCCAGTCACTGAGGGGCACTGCTCCTTCTCACTCATGGACTTCTACATGCCTTACACAGGACCAGGGTCAAGGGCAAACAAATTCAAATGCCTGCATGGGCCACATGAGTGCCACTGATGAGTGCCACAAGTGAGACGATAGGGAATAGTGAGGACTAGGGCAAACTGGCCGCAATCTGCCAAAGCCGGTGCCAGCAGATGTGCCGAGTGTTCAGGGCAGGCCGGAGAGTCGGTTCCAGTTTTGCTTTAGGTGCAAGTCCCATGCTTGCAATGCACCCCAGGTGCCAAGTGAGAGCACTCTGTGGAGACCCTCTGCTCTCCAGCATCCAGCCTGTGACCTCTGACTGAGGCCAGAACACTTTTTATCACAGACAATTTCAAACCTTAAAATCTAAACCTTCCCCCATCTCCTTCACCCTTGAACACCTTTAAAGTGAATCCTAGATGTCAGCTCATTTCCTCTGTGTTTCACTAGGACTCTCTAGAAAGCAAGGATTCACCTCCTCATAAGACGTGATCCTCATTTCAGAATCATCAGAGGATTCACTCTGATCCTAGAGGTCTCTGGCGAAACACAGATGGAGTGGGTGGTCCCAGGGCTCCGGCCAAAGGAGGCCAGAGGAGGGTTGGGGTGTGCCCCTGGCAGCCTGGGAAGACACTTCCGTCCCCTCCCAGGGTCCTCAGAGCAGGGTCTCAGTGGGGATACTGGTACGGGGGAACAGGCTGGGGGATTGTTCATTTCCAGCCTGGGGACTTTCAATCCTAAATGGGCCTTGCAGTTTCCTCTTGGAGGAGGGAGGGCCCTGGCAAAGCAATGCCAAAAAAAGAGGTCTTCCCTTTAAGGGCAGAGCCTGGTCCAAGTGAAAGGAATAGAGGAGCTTTTCCTCCAAGATGGAACACGTGGGGCAGAGACAAGGGAAGAGAGGGGCCGATGACTACACAACAGAAGCTCCACAACAAACAGACCTGCGGGACAGAGGGAGGACCCTGGGTAGTGAACTGTCCATCAACAGAAGCATTCAAGCCAGGGAGGATGACCAGTCATCAGGAAAGGCCCAAATCATGGTCATGGCAGGAAGCTAGATAGCCAAGGTCTTTGACCTCGGATTCTAAGCTAAAGAATCAAGTCCCTAGCTCTTACTGCTACTGTTGTCAGTAGAGCAGTAAAAATAACATCTACTGAGTGTCACCAGTGCTGGACGCTCTGTTAAGAGCTTTACTCTCATTATCACACTGGGCCCTCCAATGACCCCATGGAAGTTCAACCTGAAATAGCCCCACGGCTACCCAGTCCACCTTTTTATCCTAATATCCTGTTTGTCATCTTCCTGTCACTTCCTCCCTCTCAGAAGTTCATTTGTTTATTGTATGGTTTCCTCCTCTGGAAAATGGGACCCTGAGGGCAGGGACCAGTCTGTGCTGTCCCTGCAGTGTCCCCAGCTCCCCGCCAGGGTCTACAGACAGGAGATGCTCAATAAACACAATGAACACCCTTGCATGACTGAGCTGCAAAGTTCAAGGATGGGAGGCAGAGACCCGAGGAGCTCTGGGAGGGGATACGCTCCCAAGCCCCCACCCAGGGGAAGACCAGACAGGCCTACAGACGTGGAGCAGACATGCTGCCAGCAGAGGACATTGGTCCCCAGATAAGCAGGGCCAGGGCCAGGGCCGTGTCTGCATCAGGCAGTGACTGCTGCCCACGATCCTCTAGGCACCCATGAAAGTGTCCTAATTTCTTTCCAAATTAGGAGAAATAGATAAACTTTAGGGTTGAAGGTTATACACACCTTTATGTCAACACAGTAGTAAAATATAATTTTTAACCTTTTTCTTTTTTTTAAATAGAGAAAGCAGCCCTTGAAAGCAAGTGCCCAGAGCCCATGACATGGCCTCGGGGGCCCCTCTTGGCCCTGCTCCCCAGCTGACCACACCCCCAAGGGCGGGTGGGCCACACGCACCAGTGTCTGCACGATGGCGTGGTTGGTGGCGTTCATGTAGGAGTTCAGAGGGAAGGCGCACTCCCCCTCACAGTAGTAGGCGGCATAGCCCTCGGGTGCAATGATCCAGTCCTGCAGGAGAGA